AAGTTATGGAGAAAGGGGACAGAGAAGTTAGGCAAGCTGGGATAGCTCAGCTGGTAGAGCATGATTCTGGATCTCAGGGTTTGAGCCCCACCTTGGGCAAAAAATCCCTGCACTGCAGGGGGCTGGACTAGATGACCCATGTTGTCCCTTCCAGCCCTATGATACTAAGTTTTGCTCTCTCATAACACCAGAAGCCAGGACAATCTGATGAAAACATAGTCAAGAGGGAGAGGGGAGTATAAGAAGTGCACCCTAGGAAGCCTGGAAGCAGGACCTAAGTGCAACAGAAACTCTCCCCATTTGGGATTACCAGGGACTGGTATTGAGAGGCATACTGCCCCCCCAACAGTGGGAAGGCAGGGAATATACTAGGGGAAACTGCTCTGCAAAATGTGCACATTTGGGGAAACTGCATGCCGACGTGTGTCCATTAGATATGAGCAAAACACTGCAAACTGCTGTGGAAATGTGGAGACCTGTGCCCGACTGGAAAAGTGAGAAACGGAGAGAAATCGAAACTGACACCTGCCTATCCCTGCACCAGAGTGGCGTTCATTATGCCACTGATTTCCAGGACAATCTGAAGGCCGAATGTTGGAAGATTCAGGACAGACAAAACAAAGGACTTATACATGCAACACATAGTTAAGACTATGGAACTCACTGCCACCAGAGTCAGAGGCAGCCACCAATTTGGATGGCTGTAAAAGAAGATTAGACAAATTTTGCGGAGGAGAAAGCTACCACTGGCTACAAGCCACAGTGTCTATGTTCTACCTGCACTGTCAGAGGCAGAAGGCTTCTGTATTCTAGTCTCCCCTGGCCTGATCCAACAGGCTCTTCTTATGTTCTTATGATAGCAAAGGTTTACAAGAAAGATAATTTTGAAACTTGGTGATGAATATTGTGACTTGCAAGGCCTGATGAGCAGGAAGGTTTGTTCGTTAGCATTTATTTTTTTTAATCACCCTTCACCATAAAGTCCCAAGGTGGGATAGAACAATATAAAAACAGATAAAACTCATACAGTTATAAAGCAAGCAACACCATTCAAAGTAGAACAGAACAGTCTAGCCATGTGTGTGTGTTGCCATGGATGGGTAACGTATGAAAGCATTTTTTAAAAGAACAATTAAGGATGGTGGCCAGTAGAAGCAATGCAGAAATAGCCAGTTTTTGTTTTTTTTAATAAAGAAATTAAATTATAACACTCCCTGCAAAAAAAATTAAACACCCCCCCCAAAAAAATTGGGGGCTGGTTGTCTGTGGGGGAGACGGTACTTAAGGATGAAGCAAACTTTCTGCCTTCATGATGCAAGACCGAGGCTGAGCAGGCAAGCAACCCTCCCCATTCCTCTGATAGCTGATCACCAACGGGCAGCGACGAGTTTATTGACAGCCTGGTGCAGGTGCTAGTAGCAAAAGGCTGAGCTCTAGGGTATTCTAGGTAAACACACATCCCCACTGCCTCCGCCTGCCCCCCCACCCCATTCCTCCCCAGTGCTTCCAGCACTGGCGGCTCTTTTTAGCCGACACACAGAGCTCGCACCTCGCAAACAAATTATTTAACTGCTCCTATTCCCCTTGAGGATTGTGCAGCGATCATCTCTCGAAACCCAGCGCTTTTCCCTCGCATGCATGCAACAGCCTTGATAGGTTAAATGCCGCCATTTAATTACTGTAATGGAAGCAGCTATTTTTTGGTTCTCGTAAACACAGCTTCTCTCTCTCTGTCTTCTCTTTTTTTTAATATATATATATAAAATCAAACCCTCCGCACGCTCAAGAGCAATCTTTTTAAAACATCTCATTTTGTGTTTCGGGGATTCAAAGGCTGAGACGAGTGTTCTGGCAGTTCTTCCAGGAGCTCAGAGCAGGGGACGGAATCTCTGCCCTCATGTACTAGAGGGAGTGGAAGATTAAAAACTACTTTCTTAAAAATGCCAAGAGGATGGCCAAGGAAAAGAGGGTTGTGGGAACTGCGAAAGAGGAAGGCGAAATTGCCAAGCATCCTGGACAACTTCTTCCCTTTGTAGAGGGAGGATCTTCCTCTGTGAAAAGGCAGGGATAGGATCTGGCTGCAAGTGAACTGGAAGGCCCGTGAAAAGGCAGAAATCGGGGGGGGGGGAGGATACAGAGAGAGAATTCAGGGTACCTGCCCCCCACAAACTGCATGCCAGAGCTCCAGACCCCTAGGAGGGTTTCCTGCCTGGCCTACTCATGGGTGAGTCTCAAAAACACCCACAACGCAAGGGTCAAATCCCAGAAAAGCCCCTAAAGCAAAGAAAGTGCTCCTTTCGTCATCAATGTTCCATCAGGTGCCTCCTGCCTCAGAGCTGTGTGGTGTGCTGGTTAGAATTCTGCAGACCAGGGTTCAAATCCTCACATGACCATGAAGCTCACTGGATGTCACCTCAGGCTGGTCCCTGCCTCTCAGCCCAATCTACCTCATAGGATTGTTGTGGGGATTAGATGAGGGCAGGAGAAGCACGTAGACCACCTTGAGCTCCTTGGAGAGAAAGGTTGGATATAAATGCAATAAATAAGCAAATGCCAGCTGGTCATTATAATAATCTACTACAGTTGTACCTCGGGTTAAGTACTTAATTTGTTCCAGAGGTCCGTTCTTAACCTGAAACTGTTCTTAACCTGAAGCACCACTTTAGCTAATGGGGCTTCCCGCTACTGCCACGCCACCGGAGCACGATTTCTGTTCTCATCCTGAAGCAAAGTTCTTAACCTGAAGCACTGGGTCTGTAACCTGAAGCGTATGTAACCTGAGGTACCACTGTATTTAAGAATTGGTGCCTGAGTTTGCTTCCTCCTCCCCTCTTCCCTCTCTGACTGTTGTCCCTTGTGTGTCAGGTTTTTTTTTTCATTTGTAAGAAACTGGGCAGGGGACTGCTTTGGTTTTAATTGATTGCCTGGAAGCCACTCAGGGAGACTTCTGGGCTAAAGTGCAAACACTCTAAATCTCAGGGTTTCCCAAACTGGGGTCTCCAGCTGCTTTTGGACGACAGTTCCCATCATCCCTGGCCACTGGTCCTGCTAGCTGGGGATGATGGGAGTTGTAGTCCAAAAACAGCTGGAAGCCTAAGTTTGGGAAACTCTGCTCTAACTGAATGAATAAAGGGAACTTCCATATGGAGAGGATATTTCCCTTGGAAGAACAGGCCCAGACAAGCAATAAGCTGGGGAGGGCCTTGATCAGCCAGCTGGGGGAAAGGGGGCTGAATAGAAGGCCGAAAGGCAGTGCCTGAAGCAGCGTTAGAAAAGGAGGTACAGTCTTGTCACCCAGAACCAGGCGCCACATTCACAGATGGCAGCAGAAACCGCACCACCCCTTGCCAAGCTTTTAAATATGAGGTGTGGCGCACTTGTCTGACTCTTTCGACCCCTGGGAATGCCGGGTTTGCAAGCATGTGCTCTGCTGGGGAAGGTGGGTCTGCTTCCATTTTATCTTCCATGAATCTGTCTGATCCTCTGTTAAATGGGTCGAGTCTGTGGGTATCACAACTTCTTAGCAGAGCAAAGTGGCCCTTTGAGTCCAACAGCAAAAGACATTGGCCCCATTCACACCATAAACTATAAACAGTCACAGTTTCCCCCAGAGAATCATGGGAGCTGCTGAGAGTTGTCAGGGGATCCTCCCAGAGCTACAATTCCCAGGGTTCCCTGCGAAGCACCCTTAACAAACTGCAGCTCCCAGGATTCCTTGCGGGGAGCCATGACTGTTCAAAGTGGCATCATGGAGCTTTAATTGTACAGTGCAAACAGGGCCATTGTTGTCGACACCTTACAGGCCCCCAAATGGATGGGAATGGGAAGAAACTTCCCCTGAAAAAAAAAAAAAGGATAGATAGATTGATGGAGCAGTATTATTGCTAACCGGCAAAAAAATAATAAAGAAAAGATTTCAATATTTCATTTGCTCAGCGGTCCTTTGCATGCCGACGTCCCTTGGTAGCAAAACGATCCACGATCGGCGCCTCCTGTCTTTCGCTGCAAAGATGCAACCTCAAAGGTGAGGAAGGTCAGCAGTTGACAGAGAGAAATTTAATTTTGTTTATCACCATAAAAAGGGGGCACTTATCCTACCTCTCCTCCCGCTCCACACACATACACCCGGCCCCACCACTATGGACAGCAAGGACATGCACACCAGGAGTGGGTCGGCGGGGGCAGGCACGAGAAAATTACAAACGCATTTGGGGCGAAATTCAATAAAGCCAATTCCAATGCATAAGGTCAGCCATGCACTTCCAATGACCAAAACAGGGGGGCAGGAAAATATGATATGAATGCAATTTTTAATATAACCCATGTATTTGCAACAAGGTGGCTATGGGGGGGGGGAGTGTGTAATGCTATCCCTCCTTTGCTGCCCCCCTTGCTCCAGACCATCTCTCTGAGGGATCAGAGAGCACTCCAGCTACGTTTTTGGTGACTAGTTCCTACTAGCAAGACACATTTTGTACAGCGCAATGAAGTCAATTAAAAAGAAAAGAAAAAATTAGGGTGCCTCCGGTTTCATACAGAATGAAGTCTCTCCTTTCAAAAAAAAAGAGAGGAGGAGGTTGCAGGATGTCTGTCTTTAAAAAAAACCTCTTGAACCCCCTTAAGGATAAACACACACACACGCGCACACACTTGTGCCTTGCTGTGATCCCTTTATGTCTCTCGCGTGGCACAGACTTCCAAAAGTCCTTCCGTGTAAAGGTTGAGGCTTGGTGGTAGAGCATCTCAGTTGCCATGCAGAAGAAGGTCCTGATTTCAATCCCCAATAGCACCTCCAGGTAGTCCAGGAAGAGACTCCTGAGCCTGGAGGCAGTTTCATCACTTTTTTGATGTTTCAACCTTTGCGGTCATATAAACCACAGTATTAAAAAAAACCTGGCATATACTGAGTCAGATTGCTGGTCCGTCTAGCTCAACACTGTCTGCACTGACTGGCAGCAGCCCTCCAGGGTTTCAGGCAGGGAGTCTCTCCCAGGCCTACCTGAAGATGCCAGAGTTTGCACCTGGGACTTTCTGCATGTAAAGCAGATTCTCTAACCACTGAGATACATTCTTTGCCCAAGAGAAATAATGAGAGCAAAACAACAACAACAACAACAACATGATAATAAGAAGTGCAGAGAGAGAGAGAGAGAGAGAGAGAGAGAGAGAGACAAATTGGAAGCAAACTCAAGAAGGCCACATGTAGGAATTCTTTCCATCCACCCAAAAAGGAAAATAAATCTCTATGTAAGTTATCAGTAGAGTTCTGTGACCAGTTGGGGGTGATGCTTACAACAAAAGGTCAGTGCTTGAGGCCAGGAATAGGATGGCACGCAACCTGCCAGAACCTCATCTGTCTGGCATTCAGAGGCTTGTAGCCCATCTGCCGCCCCCCAACTCCACCCCACCTACGACAACCAACCAAGGAGAGGCCCATCCATTCAACTCACTTTCCCCCTCTCACTCTCTCTGAAAGTACAACTCTTGTTCCTGATAAGGAACCACAGAAACCACAGCCTAGCAGGGACCGTAATTGGCCATCGACAGCGTGGTTAACGGTCTTCGAGCCAAAATGTTTCCATTTCCCAGAGGAGCGTGCAAGGGGGGGGGGCTGGGAATCAGCAGGCTCTTTTTCACCCGGAAATGGAGGGGGCTGAAGAGTAAGCATCACATTCTGCATGGATTGGGGGGGCGGGGGAGCAAAGACAACCAAGCATTTTCACCATTGCAAAGGCAAATCTATATATATCTTTACCTTGGTTGTTGGCAACTGTCTTATCTCGAGAGACAACGGAGTGCGCCTCTGGGGGTGAAGTCAAACCCCTGCATCAGCAGCACCGAAGTGACCTTCCTGGGGTGCAAGTCTGGGTAGTGTGAATGAGAGTCCTGGGCTGCCCAGATGACAATACACACACACACACACCCAGCCTCGCTGATGTGGTCCAAAGAAAATCAGAGCAATACATCTGACACCAGCTTGGCTGCAGGAGTTGCCAGAAGGAGGCATACAAAGCACCATCCAACCATTTTAGGGACTCTACTCCAGATTTGTGTAGGGTTTACTCCACAGCCCAAAGATATCCTGCCAGGCACAGGAGGCTTCCTTCTCCTAGATGGCCTACCTTCCCAGGTTGATGAGCCCCATCTGCCCCTCACTTCCCTCTACAGCACATGCAGAAACTGCCTTCTTAACCGCCGGACCCATTATTGTTTTCATCTGCTCAATCCACCAGAGCCTGTTAACATGCAAGGTAAGTCCCTGATTCACCGAGGGTCTGAGACCCGTCAGCTACCCGCACCTGGTTTTGCCAGCCAGTCAAAGCCATTTCCAGGGTGTGGCCGCTGTTGCTTCTAGGAACCACAGTGAAAGCTGAATGCAGGATACGGAGAAAATCCTCACAGTGGCAGGAATCTGCTTATGAATCTATATTCAGGGACTGTGTTTCCCTTTTCCGAGGGAACTCTGGGAATTGTGGCTCTGGGAGGGGAACAGGGGTCTCCAAGCAACTGTCAGCACCCGGCAGAAACTGCAACCCCCATAATGCTTTGGGGGAAGCCATGATTGTTTAACGTGATATCATAGTGCTTTAAATATATGGTGTGAATGTGGTCTCAAGTATATTTTTAAGGGAACTCTCCAGGCTGGTGGCAGGGGGTTTCTTGGGGTGGAGGTGTGTATTCTGCAAAATGCCATCGGCACAATAACAGTGCCTTTGTGGTAGATTTATACCAGACTATCACAGACCTTTCTGCTTTATTAGTTGGTCTGCAAAGCTTCCCTGATCTTACTGCCATCTGGAGGGGCATTCTTGTGCTATAGAGTAACAAAAGCGGGATAATAAATAAACTGGAACATTTGTGGTTATAAAAGAAAAGTATTTCAGCAGTATTGGAAACAAAGTATGGATCTCCGATACCATGATGAGAACAAATAAAGTTGTACCTTGTTTTGCGGCTGGGATCCGTTCCGGAGCCCCGGGTGCTAGCCGAAAAGGGCGCAGGGCAAAGCACCGTATCTGCATGTGGAGCGGTTTGCACTTCTGTACATGTGTGAGCGGCAAACCCGGAAGTAACCCGTTCCGGTACTTCCAGGTTTGCCGAGGACGTTCACTGGAATGGACGCTAGACAAGGCGGACGTTCGTGGAGGTATTACTGTAATCATAAACGCACACAATGAAAAGGGCATCTGGAGGAGCCGAAGATTCTAGTCCTCATGATTGCAAGGATATTTTCCATCATAGCTCACTAGGCTAGGAGGTTCAGCTCAGAAGTTCCTCAGTTCAATTCCTCTTGACAAATGATTTACATAATATCAGCGTAATATCTCCCTGCTTGTGGGCAGGGAGAAGAACAGGAATTAAGTGAGGGAGACTATGTGTTAACACACCCCAAAGCACATCTTTGCTCTCTTTATCCTAAGCTCTTTATCCACAGCTCTTCAGCTGAAGCGCAAGGACCCACAAAGCATCTTGACACCCTAAAATGTGCCACACCACAGAAGCGTCAACCAGAGCGGCACACGTGTCACCTTTCCACATGGGAAAAGGGTGTGTTGCATTCAGAATCCAGCTTCGTTTTTGTTAAAGTTCCTAGTCCTTGTGGCCAATAAAAAAATATGCAACACATTGTTTTAATCTCAGAAGCAAGTGAAGAGGCGGCTAAATATATTTCGAGTGGGTGGGCAGGTGGTTCTTTTGCCCTGCAAACCACAGCTCTGTGCCCTGTGACTGGATGCAGCAGGAAAATAGGCACTGTGAGATAAATCATGCAGATACGCTCATTTTGCATAATTAATGCATTTATTACATTTTTAGCCCTACCCTCCTGCAAAGGCGTTCAAGGTGCCGTATGTGATTCTCCTTCCATCGACCCCACTCCATCCACACAACAACCCAGCGAGAGAAGTTGGGCTGAACAAAAGTGACTGGCCCAAAGGTCAACAACCAAGTTTTTTAAAAAATGAATGGGGCCCCGTGCCTCCGTGATCTCCTGGCCCAACACCTTTATATGCCACACTGGCTCTCTCTGCTGAAATATATTAACAACTTATTTATTGCATTTGTCTCCCACCAACGAGTCAAGGTGGCACACACAATACTTCCCACTGCTCATTTAAGCCTCCTCATTCTACTTAATATAAGCGTTTCTTTGCAAATGATTTAGAAGCAGGGGTCAGCAAACTTTTTAAGCAGGAGGCCGGTCCACTGTCCCTCAGACCTTATGGGGGCCTGGGCTATATTTTTTGGGGAGGGTGAACGAATCCCTATGCCCCACAAATAATCCAGAGATGCATTTTCAACAAAAGCACACATTTTACTCATGTCAAAACACCAGGCAGGCCCCACAAATAACCCACAGGTACATTTTAAATAAAAGGACACTTTCTACTCATGTAAAAACATGCTGATTCTGAGACTGTCCACAGGCTGGATTGAGAAGGCAATTGGGTCGCATCCGGGCCCCAGGCCTTAGGTTGCCTACCCCTGCTTTAAAGAGTGCACCCCTGGTTTAAACAGTCTTGGTGCAGAATTTTATTTAATTTTTTTCTGGAAAGGGGACATACTAGGTAAGAGAGATGGGAATGGATTGGAAAGGGGCAAGCGAGGAGAGATTAAGTAAAAATGAGAGCCAGTGTGGTGTAGTGATTAGCGTTTCAGACTAGGACCTGGGAGACCAGGGTTCAAATCCCCACTTGGCCATGAAGCTCTCTCTAGGCCAGTCACTACCTCTCTCATCCTAATCTACCTCACAGGGTTGTTGTGGGGATTAAATGAGGAGGGGGAGAACCGTATATGCCACCTTGAGCTCCTTGGAGGAAAAGGTGGGATATGAATAAAGCAAATAAAAAATAAAAGAGAAGGGTGTGCGGCCACAATCCATCAGTTGCAAATGCCACTGTTTGAGGCAAGGGGGGGCACAGCATTGGGTGGATTTCTCCGTCATGGAAATGGTGGTAAAAAATTCTGAGGCTCTGCTGTGGCCAGACGAAAGAGAGCCTCTCTCTATCCCTGCTTGTGCTGTAAAAACCAGCCAGGCCTCTTACACAGTGAATTGCACCTCTAAATGGTTCAGGGAGAGAGAAAGAGGGGGGGAAGGGGGAAGAGTTGTGGGGCACGGCCAAAGCACAGAGAGCGAGCGAGCGAGCATGAGGCTATTATGGTTAATGTGACTCGTACCCTCTGTTATGGAAGAAATAAATGTACATTTAGAGGTTGTCAGGTCTGCGCTCTCCTCTCCCACTCAATAGATGCTTTGCAACATCATTAAAATAGCAAGCGGCTGCCCCTTGCGGTGCTCTTTCCGGGGGGGGGGCCCTCCCTGAAAACACACACACAGAAAGCCCAAAGAAAGGAATGCTGAGATTTGAATCTTTTTTGACAGGAAGTTGCGGAGAGCACTTATCAAACCCCATTGGAAAACATTACTTAAGAGGAACATGCTAAGTTAGCTCTGCTTCCAGCACTGTGCCCCTTCTTCTTTTTTAATTCATCTATTGTTTCTCAGAGATGAACCAAATACTGTGTGTGTATATATATATATATATATATATATATATATATATATTCCAAGGGAAAAACGGACTGACACAGTTTCAAAACTGGCGGTCCTGTGTTCAGCGGTGACACAAGGCACATCCCGAAACGGAGGCAATAGAGCCCAGCTAGCTCACTAAGAGAGGAGGTAAAGCAGGAACAGAACAAATAACAACACGGGAAGGGCTCTGCTAGATCAGGCCAATGGGGTCATCCAGTCCCACATCCTGTTCTCACTGGATGCCTCTGGAAACCACCAAGTAGGATTCAAGTACAAGAGCGCTCTCCCCTCCTGAAGTTTCCAGCGACTGGTGTTCAGAAGCATTGCTGCCTCTGACTGTGGAGGCAGAGTAGAGCCATCGTAGAGCCATCATGGCCAGTAGCCGTTGGCACCTTTGTCTTCCATTAATTTGTCCAACCCTCTTCAAAAGCCATCACTGCCTCCTGTGGGAGGGCGTTCTATGGTTCAACCATGTGCTGCGTGAAGCAGCACTTTCTTTTATCTGTCCTGAAACTTCCAGAGCTCAGCTTCATTGGAT